GTCGAAGGGAGATAGCAGACGAACTATTTCATTCACTTTAGGTTTAATATCCTACTTCAAAACGAGAAAAGCAATTTTTCCCGAACAAGCGGAACATTTGCCTAAAGAATTGCCTGCTTACACAATATTCGATATATACCATAAACTTCAGCGTGCCTATCTGCTGACCATCTGGCGTGTCCAGGGGTTGCGGATGGAGGGACCACTTCCAGATATAGAAGTTCGCTGCAACGAATAAGCATTTGCGGGCAGGCAGCGGTGAGACAATTTAATTCAGAGAGTGGCTGGATTGGGGCTGGACAAGGCTGTTGCTTAGAAAATGTCACAATACCTAAAGACAGTCTCACGATGAGGTGAAAGCAATCCGCCCCCGTCTTTGAAAGAAATTGGTGGCCAATATCAACGCTGTCTTGCGATCAGACGTCGGTTAATCAAAGGCTAGAAGCGACAACTTCGACTAAAGGCTGGATTGAATTGGGGGTCAATCATTTATGAAATTTCCCAGGTCATCATCATCCTTCTAAGCGGGGGATACGGCGCAAAATTTCATGTACTATTACAAAACTTGAATCGTCAGAAATTGTGGTCGGCTCATGTGCTCCGGGTGATTATAAGCTCTGTAAATCTCATTCACTGATTGAACTGAAGATGCTCAATAAATTGTAGTCAGTGATCCCTCATTCAGAGAATAAATAACAAGACGCAAAATTCCAAACAGTGTTTCTGGTGGTCATTCGTGATGTTCAATTATTGTCGACTTCGTTCACTGCTTCATGTCCTCCATCGAGTATCGTCGTGGAGATATCCACAGTATTGACATTTCATAAAAAATGAAGCAGCGCTTTTTTCTAAGAGTGTCATCATTGGTTAACATGACGTCACTGACTTGGAATAAACTGAGTTGAAAACTATTCAAGTCGTAGTAATATTTCTGTATGACTGCAGGATGACTTCGCATTGGTCAGTGGTTTGTGTACACTGTAGCAGAATCGTGCCTGAAATCCTCCATTCGTTCATTCGTTTATTACGTTATTCACTATTCCATTCACATGAAAGTAACTACTACTGAAGACATTTTCAACGGCGCCATTTTTGCAGAGCATGAAAATGAGCTCAGCAGGTAATAAATGGAATCAACATGACCAACGAAGCATGAATTTATACAATTTGTCAAAAATCATACATAACGTATTCGCAACAAATAATTTTTCATCGCCTGATATTTCTCATGTCATAATTCATTGCTGCTCAGCAGAGACTAGTTTTCGACTATTCATCGAGAAGTGGCTCATGCTGTCACCTTCCGTACTTTCGTCTGAGCTGCGTCGAGTATGACGTCGTAAAAGATTAGGCGCGTCTTAGTCATTCAATATTATCGAAATCGTATTATCTTTCTTATGTCTCTCTAAAATGTAGAACTTAATCTTACATTCTCATCATAAGTATAAAATTTATCGGCGGTCACTTACTTCTGAACGGAGCTGTACAAAAACTCGATTACCCCCGGGTCACTGCCTTTGTTCTAGTCGCTGAAGAAACAGTAATTTCGCACTTTCGCTTTTCTATTGTTTACTCCTACTTGCTATTGGATGCAGGCTGAAACCTGTCGTTTAATGTAGGATAGCAATAGAGAGCTTTTTATTTTATAAGAGTCAAAATTAACGCTGCTTCCTCATCATCGTCAGTTGTTGTCCTCTGTTCAGAGAGGGGGCAGAGGGCACCCTCAAAGTTGTCGCTTTTTCAGTAGTTGCTTCTGCGCAAAGGTTCATTCGTCCATGGCTTAACGCTCCGAGGAAACAAAGGCACCGTATGTTTACAGCATGGCCATCGATGTTTCAGTGTCATTTTTCACACGTTCACAATTGCGTCGCTATATATTCTGTACAATTCATCATCCCGCTGAGAAAAAAGCAAACATCAACTGATCTACATGTCATGACAATGGAGTTATTTCTTCCCTTTTCCTTCTTCAATCAGCTGGAACTGTAACCCGCACTATCGTTGACCGCCCCTGCTACCAATGGCGAGTACCGTTTCACTGACTCAGCCGCCACCAAGTAAACATCTTCGAATGCTTCTGAATTTCGACGTCTATTTCAGGCACCCACAATAATCATATTTAAGATAAGTTTAACGTGGGTTATATTAATGCTGATTTAATCAGCTATCACATGTATCGAGATATGCAATAGCCTGAACCGCACGTTTTGGGGCAGCATGATCATAAGTCCCACAGGAAAGCGACCTGCTACCGTAATCGAGGCAGACTGTGTCGAAGTGGAGTAGGGTGAATTTTTTGAGAGTTGTCACATCATGAAAGAGATATACGCCGTGCTTGGATTCGAACCAGTATCTCGGTTGCTTAGATTCGAACGACTGCCCCTCTCATATGACATAATAACGGCTTAATTCGACAGTGAGTAATTAATCAGTAAGTAACGAGTTATTGTCTTAATACTCTAACTTATATCAGAGATAATTGCTCTGACGGACTCGACCTGAAAATGTTGCATGGTCTGCTTCGTGAGTGAAGACTATTTCCAGAAAACACAAGGATTTGCCGTAGTAGTACGAGATCAAATGGTGCATATGAAGAACTACAGGAAGTTCATCATGAAGAGAAACATCTCAAATAAATGCAACTAAGTCAATTAAACATGTGGCTGCAGGTTGCTCCGGTTTGGATAACACAGGGTACTTCAAATGGCACAATGGCGTCGCTAAGATCAACCATCAACAATTAGCATTTGAAAGAGACTTAATTTCTGAATCGAGTCGCATTGTATATACATCTAATGAGAGTTTTGAGAATGGAATGGCCAGTTTATCATCTGATTCGATCACTCTACACTCACAGTCGTCCAAAATATCAATCTTAGATCGTCAGAAAATGACCACAAAAATGATTGATGTTGCTATTGTTACACTGGACGACAATGTTCAGAAAATAAACAGCAGAAACGAAGAAATATTTTCCGTCTGAAACAGGTATATCAATTGAAGATTGCGCAGACAACATCAGTTGTCGTCAGGCAAATGGGCAAATTTTAAAATCAGTAAAAACTAGCTCAAAACGGCTGAAGACGACAGAAATGCTTACAGGAAAGTACCAAAAACAAATTGCTTAGGACACCACCAGGACAGTAGGAAAGTTTTGGATATGAAATATTTGTAGAATAGCTATGCCTGGACCCTTGAAGCTGGCAAAATATCTTCTGTATGAAAGATTATTAAATAAAATAACTATAATCCATGGGAGTTGCCGCTCTTATTTTAGTACAATTTGAAAGCGCCTAATTTTGAATTGATATGAAAACTATGATTCCCTAATGACTGTAATTAGCCAGCACAGCATTGAAAGGTACCGTTTATTTTGAGTACACAGTATCCGTTGCTACTTCAACAAACAGGACTGTACTAAGAGAAAATTTTTTCCCTACTGTTTCATCACGTGACGTATATGAACTTAATCTCCCATACGTGATGCGGAAGGTAAATAGAGGCCAAAGTAAGTGACAATATACTATAGCGTGTATAATCAATGAATTCGTCTTAACTATGATAGCACTCCCTCACTCGCCCAAGACAAACCAGTAATGAGATTATTACTAATTATTAGGTATTTGGTTACCGTCCTCAATACTTTTTTCGAGATGAAAGCATTCGAGGCTATAGCAAAACGTCTCACGCTGATTTCCTCACTGAAGCACAAGGCAGTCCGTTGTCAGAAAACAATATGACGAATATTTCACATGTTTCATGAATTCGAGCGGAGGTAATCAGTAGAACCTTGAAAAACCTAAAGGCGAACCAATCCTGGGGCAGGAATGGTATACAAACCGATTTGATAAAATTCAGCGACGACGGAACATTGCCCAAGCTCCTGAGACTATTCCGGCATAGGTGGATGGAGAAGAAATTTCTCGACGATTGGATGAATTCAATCATATTCCTAATCCAAAAGGTCAGGATAACAGCT